CGGTCACATCTCGCCACGCGCTCGAATTGGGAGGTGGGCCGGGCTAAGACGACAATTTTGAATAATTAATTACTCGTTATCTCTTGCGAAAATTGCAAAATGGTACAGGACTTTTCGACTCGGTCTAGTCCGCTCTACCTGCACACCAAAAAAGTCCCCAATATTCAATGACACCCTGTATAGATGGATTAATTTCAATACGCTATTTGATTTTTACACTTCTACAAATGCTGATAATACCATTTGTTTTAGAAACCTGCGAAGCATCGGTTAGTCTAAACTAGCTAATTATATTAGTCGGTATCGCAATATTATTATATTATTAAGGAAATTAACGTACGAACTCTCACAGGATATTGGAAGTAATAAATAACGTCCGAGAGAAGATGCGGAGGACACCAGAGGCGCTCGCCAGATTCGTCGCGCACTTGACCGTGCCCGGACCTCGACAGTGTGTCGGAGGCGCGAGTGCACTTTACCAAAGGAGCCTCTCCCGCACTCGCGTCGATTTCCCACGATCTTCTGGCACCTCCGCAAAATGGTAGTCCGATAATGCGGCAACGCGAGAGCCGTGCTACCGCGGCGCGGATTGCGGCGCGCACTGACCAACGCGTAAAAGTGACTCGCTCGAGCGAGGCTGGGTACCGCGAGAAACGCGTAGCCGCAGGTAACGATACCTGGCTGGCTGCCCGGCTGGGAGTTGGCTCTCTTCGAGGTGAATGTCTTCTCCGACGCGGGCCCGCGAACGGGAGGGGGACCGACCCCGAGCGGGACCATCGGCGTAAGCAGCCCCGGCGCCGCGCGTTTCGACGTTTCGCGCGAGCTAGGCGAGACGCTGCTCGAATGCCTCGATCTGCGAAGTACCGTAAAAATACCATGGCGTTTTTGCACGCGGACGTCGGGTCTTCCCCCCCATCGAGCTTCTATCTGCGATAAACCTGGCCCACGTTTTCTCGAGATTTCGTCGAGAGCTCTCCCCCCTTTTTTTGTAGAGACGTGGAAGGCCCATATTCTCAATCCTCCTTTATCGATAAAAGCGCCTCTAGACTGAATAAAAATTTCGCTACCGTAGCCAATCATGGTTTGCTAAAGATATTTTGCTGCCATAACTAGAAATTATCAAAGAAATACAAAGGGCGTGAAAATGCAGTTTTATAAATGCCTTTTCCGGATTATTAGGAGACGCCATGTAAAGGATGCATTTTGTATTTTCATTATACATTACTATTTATTATATTGTATTACATTATGTGTTGTCATCGGAAGTAGACAAAATCGAGGCGTCACTTTATCTTGTACCCGTTCTCTACCAAGGGAAATCAGAGTCTTAATTAATTCCAGCATTACCGTAAGACGTATGCAAATCTGCGTGATTGGAATATAAAATAAAAGTGGCGTGGGGACTATTTCTTCGGCGAGTTTCTCGATCAACCGGATAAATGTTGAAGAAGGAAGAGGCCCGATGAAGATACTTTAATTAGCTTCTCTCACGTCAACGTGCGTTCGCTTCGCTCTTTGTGCATCCGTTTTGCATCCGATTTCTACCCCCAAGTTATGCCTCCGCTGCCCTTTGAAAGCACCCGTGAGTAACTCGAGTACACGTCCGCTGCGCGTGAAACAAAGCGGAGAAAATGCGCGACGAAAGTGGCAAGAACGTGGAGCGACGGTGCAAAAAAGCGCGGAGGATCCACGCTGGTTGGGCGCAAGCTATCTCGCGGGCCCGGCGCGTTCACGCCACTGGGAACCCGTCGGTGGGGTACCGGTGAGGCCCCCGGAGAGGGAAACTCGTGGGGGCCCTCGGTGGGCTCCTCCATCAGCGGTGGCGGCCAGCGTTCGGTCAGGACTCCGGCGAGTCGCGTGATATCTGCCGCTTCGCTTCGGTCGCGAGCCGAGGAGGATATCCCGGGTAAGAGTCGACGACGACGACGACGGCGGCGGCGTCGCCTGAGAGAGAAAGATCGTTTTTTTCACCCCCCGCGGGTAGAACGACCCTCCCGCACGCAAGGGAAGTGCGTATCCCTATTCCCTGTCACGCGAAGTGCGGCGGGTCCGATCGGCCGGCGATCGGCGCGCAGGAGGACGACGAACCGGAATGGAGAGGAGGCAGCAGCGTCGTCGTCGTGACTCTACCAGCTTCCAAGGTTGAAGGCCCAGCGCGAATACACAGCCGGTGAGTCATTGTCACGAAGATCAGAGCGCGGCAGCGCGCCTGCTCTCCCTCTGTCTTCCTCTCTCTTTCTCTCTCTCTCTCTCTCTCTTTCTCCACTTCTCGTCCTCGAGCTGCGGACGCCGAGTCGCCTTCGCGCGTGTTCCGCGATTTTTCGAACGTGCTCACAAAAGCTCGTCCATCAACGATGTCGATTAAACTTTGCCGGTTTCCATGGGACGGAAATAAACTTGCTTTCTTGTTTCCACTTTTGCCGATAGCTGAGTGCAGGAATCAACCCCTCGTAAGACTAGACGGATTCTTTTCACGTTAGATTGTTAGACGGATTGTTAGATAAATAATCGAGATTAATAATAAATGACGGCGTTGTCTTCCTTTTTCCCCCCGAGTGTTTTTCTAGATTTTATGGAGACGGAGAAGATATTTAATTATTTCCGATAATTTTCGAAATAATTTAATCCGACAAATTACGTTGGTGTAAATTAAGTTAGCATGACTTGGGCGTTCTTTCAGTCTTTCCTCAGATCTCTTTTCCTTTGATATTTATCTACGAGGAACTAGCGAGGAGCTCGTTAAGGAATTTTCTATGGCGAACAAAAATATCTTCATTTTACGTTCGGAAACCTACGTTCGCATACTCTCCAAAGTAATGGTATAATTAGATGAAGGAATTGTTTGCACGTGATGCGAGCCTCGCGTGCGTGTCTGATTATGCAGCAAGGAAAATGTCGCGGCGCTTTCGTTCGGGAACGCATTCTCAAATTCTATGGGATCTATAGAGCGGATCGACCGCCTTCGAAAAAGTGGTAACGCCGGGCTTGTTAATCACCTGTTGCTTTCACCGGCGTACCGGCGAGTCTTTCTTGTTATGCAAAATCAGGTTCCCCGCCGTTGAACCGTGAATTAAAAGCTCGCATACAGCGGCGCTGAAAAAAGGTTCCACATGCATTTGCTTCTCGAGGAAGGAAAACGCATAACCCACTGAGCGCTCCTTGAAAGTACGATCGCATAAGCACGAGAGAGAGATAATTGTGCGTATATTTCCTCGATTTCTATATCACTCAAAGAACTGCTAATAAAATTGCTACGGATTCACTTAGGAAAAATTAAAATGTTAACATTTTCTTACATGTTCCAAAACGTCCACTCTAAATTTTAAAGTAAAATAACATTTATTTTGTGTGCTACGCGTGTGCTACTTTTTGACAAATTATAAATGTTTATTAATCAACGCTATACTTCACGTTTATGATTGTGTTCTTTCAATCGTGTGATGTAATAAAAACAAACAGGATAAGTAAACTGTACGAATAGTTACAAATCAGAATAGTTGAAATAATTTTTACGAAATGTCGATATCACACGTTCTGTTTGATTTTGTGAAATAGTTGTGTTAAAAGAACTCAAAATAATATTCAATTTTTAAATAACACACATAAAAAGTGTCAAGTTATTATGTTAATATAAATATAATACATAAAAGTGTTACGAAAATAAAAACATGTACGTTTTATGTTAATTTTACATTGAAGTGAGAATCAAATCTTGGTAACACAAGAAAATTTTAACATTTGAATACACGATTTTTTACTGTGTCTAAAGAAAGTGCAAAGTATTAAAAAAAAAGAGTCAATTTAGTGTTGCGGCAGTCGTTATTAAAATTAGTCATTCGCATGTGCTGATGATAATTTTATTTAAAGAATGATTTATAGCTCACGTTACTGATCTTTTTCCTCCGTCTTTTAGTACCAAATAAATAATTTTTATCGCGAAACGTAAAATACTTTGTGTTGCAAGACGACGCAGCTCATTGTGTTGTATTTCGCCACACTCTAAACTGCGGTAGCGCAGTTTTCTATCATGTGCGCGTGAAACCACTATTTTCCACTCGTGTTACATGCGGGGATAATGTTTTACTTTCCCGAGTGGGCGGATTATTACTCGATTAGATTACAAGCGCTGAAAGCGTCCGATTTATGTCGTTAGCGGCGAGACATTGCTCAAGAGCCCTCTTTTTCGTTGGAAAGAGTAATAATAACAGACTATCTTCCTGCTCAAGTACGGTGGCACCTATTTTCGAGCAATAGAAAGAAATATACCGGAACCGCCGAACATCCTTTCGGCCTAGATCTTAAAATCGGAATCTTTCTTCGAGCCTCCCCTTTAATAATAATTTTGCAACGTACTACCATTCCTCTTTCGAGTATTTTTCTAACTCTTAAGTCGCTCAAACAATTGGATAGTTATCCCACTGTATTAAATTGCGTCTGTTAAATTTCAATCCAAAGTGCAAATACGGAAAAGTAGCTGCCACAGCTAAAGGCTACACGTGGTAACTAAATTTCAGCTGTAAAATTTGAACAGCTAAATATTTTGCTACTGTGCCTATTGTATTGGGTGCGACAGCGAACCGTTTGCTGTGCTTTAGAAATTTATAGTTATGGCGGCAACATATTTTCAGCAAACCACGATTAGCTATGGTAGTGAAAATTTTCTTTTCCGCGAAGTCTTCGGAGTCTGCTGGCGCCTTTTCCCTCCCGCTTCCTTTCCACGTTTTTCTCTGGGAAAAAGAGACAGTTAGCAACCCACTTTGGGGCCCACAATTAGTAATTAAATTATTTGGATTGTTCGTAACACTCTACTCTGGGAAAATTTGTGACCGTTTTTTTGTAGTTAAGCAACTTAACATTTCGGTTAGATGCCCCTTAAGTGAAAATTATTTTTGCGTTACTGAATGTCGACAGAACTAATTGAGAGAATTTTGGTTAGTATTACTTTCAAATCTTGAATATAGATAGAATAGCTAATTGCGATGTTTGGTTACGCGGGGTAAAATTCGTAAAAGATTAGAGCTCCGAACAATCTAAATAATTCGACTATTATAATTGTGGGCTTCAAAATGGGTTGCTAACTGCCTTTTTCTCTCAGAGTTTCTCTCTCCAGGAGATATCTTTATCCATATTTCTCAAGAACGCATTTCCTTTCATTTCCGTTAATAAAAAGTAAAACCGCTCGCGCCCATTACTTCCTTCGCGCGTTACCACGTTAGCGTATGCGAGGCCCTGGCGATCGCGTGGCGGAAAGGTGAGGGTTCAATCCTTCAATCCGTTCACTTCGATCGGACACTGCGGATACGAATGCATAATCGTGCCGCGAATCGCCGTGATTTTCATTAAGGGCGCGCGCGACGGCCGGCCGTACCTCGGCGAAATCGTGGAGTCACGCCGGGAGACTTTAACGAGCGCACAGGAGCACTCCTGGACGCTTCCTCGCACGGTGCTTCGAGTGATTTGCAATTTCAATTGGATCTTCCTCCCTTTTCGTCCCGTCCTTCCTCCCCCGCGTTCGCAGGGAGAGGCACACCGATTGCCACGGTGGAATATTGAAAAATCTCCCGGCTGACCTCGCTTATATCCTGCATTCTCGCGACGCTTCACCGCCCGATAATGCCCATCATCGCTTATAATGAAGTAGTAAAAGTGCTCTCGGCATTCAGCCGCTGTCTAATTTTATTATGATTGTACGTGACGTATTATCTGTAGAATGGCAACGAAAATACTTTCTATTTGATTAATAATACGCAGGTGTAGTTAACATCAACTGTGTGTACCGGTGAGAAAATATCTCTAAATATCTTAAATATGATCTGCGTCTCTCCCGACCATCTTTTATTCCCTAAAAAGAAATTTCGCTAATTATGAACTAAATAATTTTTCCTTCGACTCTTCGTTTTCTCTAATTGAGAGACGTTAGGAACAGATAAGAGGCGAGATTCACGGGCACGATCTCTTTTCCTAAAGCTGTAATCGCGGGATTACTGGCGTTTAATTAATCGAGATAATTAGCCGCGAGCGCGCACTTCGGATTGTTTGAGGTGCACGCGTTATGTGGGTCGGCGGGACGCGGTTTTCGGTAGACTTTCCATCACGGTTTCCAACCGCGTTGCGTGTACGGGTAATTATGGCTGTAACACTATAACAATCCAGGCCATGGTGGTATTTTATTTAGGTACACGGACACGGGTGCACGGTTCACTGGCGTACAAACGTAGCTATAGAAATTGGTGCGTGGGATAGTCTCACAGTGGATTCTGGAGATCACGAAATCGAGATATTGTTTCCGTTCGCCGGGAGCCGGGAGAGGACTAAATAAGCGGAGACATTCCGCGGTTATATATCCCTCCAATTTTCACTTATCCGACTCGAGCCACGCGAAACGCGGTGGAATCCATCCGCGAGAGAAAAAAAACTGAAATCAATCTGGCCACTGCACTTCGAAGATCGAAGCTGGAGCTGAAATCAGTCTGGCAGCTTCGAAGACCGAAGTTAAAGTATCTCGGTTCTCTTCCAGCTCGTTGAACATTTCTTTTTTTTTTTTCTTAATACGCGAGGCGACACGAGCGTGCGATAGACGCTCGCGTTTTCGAGAAATGCGGAAAGCGCGGTTTTACGGAAAAAAAAAACACCTGGCTCTCGCATTGTCCGAGGGAGGGAATCCTCGCATGTGTCTTCAATTCCCCGCAAACGTTCTCGTTTTCAACCGCTTAACCCCTTGAATCGCATTAAGCACCCGTGACCGCGGATCCAGGCTCGCGATGCGAATTTGCGATCGCCGCAAGAGCGATCACGCGACCGGCGATTTTTCCAGGTATCGCGCGCGAGCACAAGGTACATATACGTCCGGCGAGATATTAGACGTCACTTTCCGCCTGCTTTCGACATGCTCAGCTGCGCGCAATAGGCACATGCAGCGGCGGGCCCGTTTTTCCGAGCGTATCATCGCCGGCCTTTACGAATATATCGCCGCGGTCATATCCGCACTTTCCTTCTCGTATACTATGTATTAAAACGGCGATCCAGTTGCGCGCGCGTGCAAAAGGCCGGCAAAGAGGCCGCACGAGACAAGAGTGGCGTTTAAATGGTGAATTCATACCGCGAAAACGCACGGTCGTCGCTCGATACAACTGTTGCAGAAACGGGATATGCAAATGAACAGTTAACCGGGCCCCGCGAGAGGCGGTTATCGGTCGCCGCAAAAAAATCACCGTATTACGTAAACTGAAAAGGACGTAGGGGCACCACCGCGACACAGTTCTGTCGCTATTACATTCATACGAGACGCAATTATTCGACCGTTGTGTAACACTTACGCACTCGGAGTGTGCGGCGGCGGGAAGGTCTCCGTGGCTGCGATAAGATTGGCGTTACAGAATCTTTCGAAAAGAAAAAAATTATAAAATCGACGTGAACGAGGTCGTGAATCACGAAAATCTTTTTCACGGAGGGGGAGAGAGAGAGAGAGAGAGATGTCGGTTTAATTACAGAATAAGTTTCCACCGCGACTCCGACGACGTATTATTTCCGAGATGCTTCTTTATGAACGGTGTTGGCCAAGTCCCCGCGATGTCTCGCATCCGTAATCACGCGTGGGTTAAATCATTCCATGCACGATCGTGAGACCAAGCAAGGACTAACTCGACGTACAGCGGGAACCACGTCCATTGTCATTGCAGAAGCCGACGCAATCCTACCTGCGAGAACCCGCGGGCTCTTTCTCCTTTCATATGCGGGTACAGCTCATGCGGGAACGTCTCGTCGCGGTCGCCCGTGTTGCAGTGACACGAAGACCCCCGGGTGAACCTAAACCCGCGGCTCCGACCACCGAGAGGTCGTGCCACATTCAGGAATGAATCCTCCATCGGCTCTGGCTCCTTATTAGAATTGCAATTATCTTATCGTTTTTTCATTTCCTACGTCTTTCTATAGCTATTGTCCTGTCCCCGTATTAAATTATATCGCATTCTCGCTATGCGAATTTGCAACAGATATTCGGTGAAGCTCTTCATTTACATATAAAGTGGTGCTAGTTACTGCTCCACCTTGTGTATTTAAAAATTTAGAAATCTAGAAATTTAGACCTCTTCCTGTTTTCTATATTTAAATCTCACTCTATTTTAATAAATACATATATTTTGAATATTAGCGGCGGACGGTGGTAAAGCATTTTGGCGAGTCCTCGAAAATTAGGAAAAAAAAAAATAGGAAGCACAGTCGGCCGCGCTCGTGCGAAAAAAACAAGAATCTGCTGCTAGTTGGGGCCTCGCGAACGTATAATACAGACTGTACCGTTATTTCTTGTCAGTTAAAAATGTCAGCTGTTTGCAAACGTACAGCGTAAGGAGTTCCACGGCGACGGATCCGCTGAGCCGTTGATGACTTCACCGACGAACACGTGTTACAACGCAGTCACCATTACGACGGCGCGGAAAGATATCACAGCTATTTCTGCGGGCGCGAATTAATCCAACGCGCACACGGCGTCGTATGACACAACATGCTGATTCTCGATCAATCCGACACTTGTCTAGCAGTAAAACTACGCGCGACTCACATCCGCTTTGACCGAGCAGGAGATTCTGCTAGACAATCGCACTTCGAAAGGGAATAATTAACTAACATTCGTAAATACGCCGAACGATGCGGGCGCCTTTCTGTCCCTCCGCGGAATAATCGATTTCCGCTTTCCGCACAGACTATAGTAGCACAGTGCATTTGGCTAAACATTGGTCCAATGTTGGTTATACTAGAAATGCATTGGCCGGTATTGTTCGTGGAATAAATTGTAAATGTTGCACGATAATAATTATATAATATTAGATTTATATTGGAAGCGTATTGGTCAATATTTAACGATGTAATAAGAATATTGGTCTAATATTGTTAAATAGATATGTTGCCTAAATAAGAGAAGGCGTCAATCTTAACATATTGGACCAATATTGGGGATACTAGATTTACATTATTTCCCAATATCGCGCCAATATATTGTGCTACTACCCTAGTAGCACAGTGCATTGGCTAAACATTGGCTGAACATTGGTCCAATGTTGGCTATATTAGAAATGCATTGGCCGGTATTGTCCGTGGAATAAATTTAAATATTGCATGATAATAATGATATAATATTAGATTTATATTGGAAGTGCATTGGCCAATATTTAACGATGTAATAAGAATTTTGGTCTAATATTGTATCGATATTGGACCAATATTGGGGATTACTAGATTTGCATTATTTCCCAATATTGCGCCAAGATATTGTGCTACTAGGGTATGATGATCTCCGTCAACCAACGGCGATCTGTGCTCTGCGAAAGCACTTCTTTTTCTTTCTCGATAAGATATGGTGTGCGATTTCAATCTCGCCGGTTCTCACGGGAGCAGGCATCAACATTCTTGCGAGCCAGCTCAGTTTCAAGGGAGACTCGCTGATGAGTCACTTCTAACGGGAAATTCCGGGATGAGGAGGTAAAAAAAATGTCATTCCATCGGCATCTGCGGTAACTAGAAATGCGCCTCGTGTATCATCCGGAGTGATTCTAAGCCGCTAAAACGGATTATGTAATTCTGCGCATTCCACCACGGACGACGCAAATGTAACATCTGCGCTGACGCGATATTAAATTGTCATAAGTGCCAACAAATCGCACCTGCTACAAGAGTATTGTACAAGAGAACACTCTGCGGGCTAGGGTGTAGTGTGCACCTGATCGGCAGTGGATAGTTTAACGTCTGTCTTTAAAGAAGCGAAGCTCCTGCAAGACGGAGAAATCTCGGTGATTTTTAGGTCCAGATAAACTCCTCGGCACGCGCGTTTTTATGATAATTATGCAGTTTCGAGAGACTCGATCTATTCTTATGCGAAGAAGAATTTCGTTATTGAGTAACGATTCGCGTCTCATTTATGGCGACAATTTTGCGGGTGTAAAATACGGTGACAGTTCAACAAACGCACCCGACGTGTATTCGCCGGACACCCGATACGTTTTCGCACTCGCGTGGAACTCGGAAACGTGAACGCATACCGCAAACTGACACGTGAAGACGAATTAAAACCTGTTGTGGCGCCGGAGCGACGAGGCAGATGGTTTATGCGTTTCTTGCCGCTTGCGTTTCGCAAGCAGTTCGAAATAATCGACGCCGCTCGATTTACATCACCGTCGGGAGCCAAGGTCGATCCCCTCTCGCAGGCAGGAAGAGATGCCTCCGATTAATTTAATCATCCCTCGATAATCCCGCAGCTTGTCCGCGCGCGTAAGGTATCTTCGAGTGCACGTTGGCTCCGAAATTCATTAGGGCGACGCGATGGGACTTGTTCTCCAATAAGTAATGGCGATCGTTAATTCACGGCGCCTGAGATTAACGATGTTGATCCTATTGCCTGGAGAGGCAATCTCGTGTCTTCTTTTTTTACACTTCACGGAGAGAATTTTCTCTCTATTTTCTCTTAAAGTTTATCTTGAAAATCATGGGATCGTGGAACAACACTTTACGAGGAGTTTTGTGAAATCTTACCATACATTTTACTAATTTTACCATACATTTTACTAATAAACGTAAACATAATTTTACCATACACTCCACTAGTAAAATGTACAGGCACTAAGTATAATTACTAGTGAAATGTATGGTAAAATTTAAAAAACTCATAAAATTCTTCGAAATACCGCGTTATCCCACGATCACATAATTCGTCAGGATAAATTTGAAAAGAAAATTCCCTCCGTATTTTATATCGCAAAAACGACAGGTCGAGTCGCCTTCCACTTTCTACCATCGCGTTCTATTCCGAAGTTTTAGCAAAACCGTAATTACCCGTCGGAAATATACGTATACCAATCTCGCATCTAATCTCGACGAGGATTTTATTTCGCAACTGGAGAGCGCGGTGTCGGCACGTTTGATTGCTGTGTCGCGAACGCGAGCTCTACTCCGGATGTTTTTCCGAAGGAAGTTGTTCCGGGACACCCGTTACGGAACGGATTTTCAAGCGTCGAGGGTGCAACGTGCTCGCGAAGAGACATTAAACACGGCAATGGCAATGAAACAGGTGCGCGTTTTTAGGTCGCGCGCACCACCGTTAAATGGGATGCTGCGTTCGCTTCTTCCCTCGAGGTATATCCGTACACGTGTCCCCGCCGCAAACGCGATATTTATCCCCGTGCCGAGCACCTTCCCGGGCGCCACAACGCGAGCGTGTATTTCTTCTGATAACGGTGATGAGTTCTTGACAGCTATTTGGTAGAACACGACGTCGCGCCGCAACGCGGAACGCGGAAAGCAACAAGCGCAATTAGACGGCGATTAAATGGAAAAAATTACGGTAATTAACAGTCGCGATTAAACATGAGACTACGACGCCGAGCTTATCTCACGTGCGATTAAAACGTTGAAATATTATTAAAGCAAAAATAAAGTCGAGTAATATGATAACGAGTTCATGTAAAGGTTCTAAAGTAGAATGAAATGAGATAAAAGATAAAACGCATATATATATAATAAAGTCGAGTTAACGAAGTACTCGCTGGAAAGCAGTAAGAATAAAATCTGCTGTTTAAAAATGTTAATTATTTGAAAATAAGTCGTTTAAAGCTCGATAAATTTGTTTTCATGATGATGAAGAAAATAAAATTTGAAGCTACTTGTAACGCGATTAAAAAAAAAGACTTTCACGTTATAATAAAGTCAAATTAACGAAGTACTTGCCGGAAGAGATAGAATAAGAAGAAGATTTGCTGCAGTTGTTACAAGATGACACGTTTAAAGCTCGAACTCGAGTCAATCTATTTCGGACGTGCACTGCATAAAATCGGAAGCTACTTGTAACGCGATTAAAAGAAAGACTTCCACGTCAGAATAAAGTCGAA